AGTGACTGACAGCAGAAATATTGATCGCGAACTTGCTCACATTGTTTTAGCTGACGGGTGACAAAGATAAAAAACATGATGCATGGGATATCTATTCTCTTGATTAAGGCCCGCATTACGAAGTCGTACATAACTTGTTGAACTAAATACCCTACTATCAGTTTCGAAATAGATCGAACCAAATCGACATCTTTCGATCCAATTCAGTTTACTTCCAAAGAAAAAGAGAAGAACAAGATTGGCAGATCGAAGTAAAGGTGAAGGCAGTTCAAAAATTGAACCAAATTTTTTGTTTTATCTACATATGATTGGATAGAACTCATCGAACCACGTTTTATTATTGTTTTATTGAGTATCGTTAGCATTGCAAAACCCAAGCAGACATCACCTTTGGGAAAAATCTGGACACATTTCGTCTGTAGTGAGGCGATACATGACTCGTTGTAGATTACAAGTAACGTGCATCATACTGATATACCGGATCCCATGACTGATACTTACTTGAGACAGACGAGAAACAAACTTCCGAAACTTCATCACAACTCGCTTGGATCACGAAGAAAATGATGGATCTGTTGACTGTGACTCGGAGATCTCCTGCATGAAACCGAGTCTCATTTTTTAGTGGTTCGAGACACAAGCCAGACTTCCATACGCATACTGAGGTTTGAAGCATTCACGCTTAGTCCGCCTGAGAGTTGAAAAAATTCTTTTAGCAGATAATCTGGCAATCTTTTTCACACACATGTTACAACTAAACTGCCATAAACCATAAGGAGACACTTGTCGCTACAAGTATAAGGCTAATTGACCGACTAGAACATAATTTAGCCTTATCTTAGGAAATGAAAATTAGATTTTGATAAGAGTAAGAAACTTTTAAATAGTTACGATATGGTTCAAATGGTCATACCTCCGGCTATACCTTTTTAGGGCTTTTTGAAATACCTTCCGTTTTTTTAGAGTGTACTGATACTAATCCGATAAAAAATTAGCCGAATAGAAAAATAAACTATGAGTGATGTAACCAAATAGTAAGGTGCTGATAATTCAGAATTACAGCAGGAACTTTTGTTTTCTCTTTTTTCGGCATGGTTGGATAGAGCTCATTGAGTTGCATCGGAAAAACACAATCCCACATTTTAAAGAAGTCATTTTTTAGTGAAAAAATTTAAAAATACCCATTTTTTAAAAATAATCAACAATCTGTGATAATTAGTAATAAGTAATTATTATTTCCCGCTAATCAGTATACTTATAGAAAATAAAGTATACGACGCTTTTTCTAAAATTCTGTTTTCGTTGCTAATTCATTTTTTTCTAAATTAGAGGAAAAAGTCGGTAAAGTAAAAATCTCGGTAGGTTTTCAAGGTGAAAATTCGAAAAAAATAAAGTAGTCAGATAGGATAGAAATACACATCAATGAACCCGACTTTTGACCTTTATTCCAAATATGCTATTTTTATTGCTCAAAAGTTGAGTTCTGAGCGAGAAAATTGAGAATTACGGGGAGTATTCCGACTTTTTCGTCCGATTTAGAAAAAAATGAATGTTCTCAACAATGAAACAAAATTTCAAAAAAAGCTTCGCATACTTCTTTTCCTGCAAGTATACTGATTAGAAGGAAATAATAATTAATGCTTAGTCTTGCGATAAAAAAAACTAGATACGTTTGCGAATTTAACATCAGGGAAGCTACCAGGGTTCTGCTGCTGGTCCGTAAATTTGGCGGTCAGTTTCAACTTAAAATTTAGAAATTCAGCTTTTTATACGCAGTTTTCGATGAAGAATCAGAAAAAAATAGTTCTGGAATCCTATAAAAACAACAAATGTGAAAAACTTGGTTGTTTTCGAAAATTTCACGGATTGTTGATTATTTTTAAAAAATAGGTATTTTTAAAATTCCAAAGGAATTCAAGATTTTTTAGGTCACGACTTTTTTATATTCTAAAAATTTCAAAAGGATTTCCTGATAAAAGTAAAAAACGTTTGAACAATTATGAAATGATTCATATGGTCATACCATTTTTCGTATTTTAAAATATCATGTTTTTTAGAGAGTAGCTTTAAACACTATGTTCAGTGGTCTAGCTATTATTTATCTACCATAGCAGCATTATGGGCATAAAAATGCACAAATCCTCGTAAAGATAGAGGTTGGCTGTATACTACTAGTTAAGAGTGATACTAACCATTAATAACTGCACAACCTCAAGCCTTGTACATGATACATGACAGGATGTCAAAGTATATTTCTGCACTTCGGTTCTGTTTGTTACCTGTGCAAGGATGGCCTTTGTGTGTTACACTTTGCTGTATAATCATACATGGATGAATAATCACTCTAGCCCCAAAACTATCTATTAGTAAGCACCTCTTTTATGGGGCTATATATTCGTGTACTTTTCTCAAAATCTTTTTTCTTGATGAAAAGCATGATCGCTGATCCGGATGCGGGGATCTTAATGAAGATTGTGTCCATACCTTTTAAAAGATTTCCAGAAGATTGCTTTTTAAAAACTGAGGTTTTGAGAAAGATTTTTTTCCAAAAAAAACGTTAGTTTAGTGAATCATGTAAAGAAGATATTTCATCATATACAAAAGTTGCATATACAATTGAACAGTAACTCTTTTCCTTTTGATTATATTTGGACAGTTGTAATTTCCATGTTTCTGTCTTACTCTTATTGTTAATTATGTTTCTTGTTACGCTGCACAGCAGTTGATAAAAATATAAAAATTTGTTCGAGTTTATGAGAATATTTCACTCAATTTGTATTATATATGATTAATCATATATCAATTTATATATTCCACTCAATATTCCGTTCAATTTACTACTATCCGTTCCAAAACACAAGAACATCGGTTGCTTTTTGAATAACTTTTGATAGGTAATAGATAGAGAGGTGCGATTTTCAGTTTTAGAAACTAGAGATCTGAGCCCGTGTTTCTATAGGCGGAAGGGAGTTTCCGAAAAAATTTTCAAGTTGGTTTTTGAGGAGATCTTTGGAAAACCAGATCAGAACTCCCGAAAGTCTCATAGAAATGTAGTCGTTTTCTTACATGGATATGTAGCTACAAGTGTCCTCTAAAAAATGGGAGTCAAGCGAGACCTAGATTTTCTACGGCTCTAGCGTTGTACCGGATTTTCTACGAGTCCCAGAACCGGCACTTGGTGACTCTTCGTAGCCTTGAAAGCCAATGGACTATAGATAATCAGAACGAGTTCAAAACTTCGGTATATAAAGCATTTAGGTTACTCTGTATCCTATTTACAGGAGATCTAGAAAGAGATTTTATAAAACTCTAATGCTTTCCCAAAGGGTTTCTGGAAAAGCCATTAATAAAAATATGATTTTTCGATTTGTTCGATCTTATAATCACGTTTAGCGGACAGAATTGATTATATCCTGAAGTTTTGAAGTCGTTCTGATGTATTTTGAGTGAATAGTGAATTAATATTAGGCGAAAACAGTCTGAAAACCCCAGTTTTCGTAAAACTCCCTTTTTCGATAGACTTTTAAACTTTTTCTAAAAGCAAATATTG